AGGGTCTGGAGCCCTTCACTGACCCACTGGCTGAGACCCGACAGCTGTAGATCTTTTTGGGATGCTCTACCTGAAGCACAGAATCAGAAAAAGACAAATGGGCAGCAGCTGTTTTCAAGAAGTCTGGTCAGGGTTGGAGCAAACGGGGATGTGGGAAGCTGAGCCTTAACCCTCTGTTTATTGTTGCAGATCTCACCTCAGGCTGTGAGATGGGGCACCCGCCACAAAAATGACTTTTTCCAGGGGAAGAGCCCTGGCAACTTCAGGTTATGGGCAGACACTGGACAGTTCGAAACTGAAAAAACACCAGTCACAGGAGACTTGTAAGCTCAGTTAAACAAAACGCACTGGCTGACAGGCACATAAACTTTGTATGTGAAAGCTTAAGGTGACCCTACCTCTGAAATTTCTCTTGTATCTCCCCAGCATACGTCTACATCTGAAAGGGTTAAGTGATTTGTGAAGTATTTTGACTAAGACAAAGTAACTACCTTACATGCTATTAGCCCATAGCAGTAACTATAGTGTGAATACAGCAGGAGATGAAATCAAAGTGACTAATAGCTTTTCTTTGCGGATGTGTCAGGAGCATTTCCAGCCCTGTATATCTTCCTGCAATCGGACGTGGCATTAAATAGCATTCTCTCCTTATTCCCAGACTGTGCTTTACATGAAACCTGGCCAGCTTCTCTTTGTTCAACAGCTCCACCCGCTGAGGCTCTCGCTTCCTAGCAGAACTGGATCCTAGCTGGGGCACGGATCACAAAGTCTGCCAGACACACATCCCGGCCTTAGCTTCGTAAGCACTTTCTGCCTTTAATCATCTTAAAGCCAGGTCCCATGAAAGAGCTTTTGCTAGTCTACCCCAATAAGTAAAGGGCACCAGGCAATTTAAGAAAGTTTTGGGGTTTTTTTTCTTCAAAGACTCTAGTAATGCATAAATATTTATACAAGGACTTTTTGCTTCGGCAATGCCACTTGTAGCACTTATTGTCTTAAGCAGCAATCAAATGTATTAATAAAGACACTTTGTTTTAAGTCCACCTGCAAGGCGGCTACAAACAGAGCTGAAACATGCTTTGCTGAAGAGGAAGGAGAGATTGTTCTTGCTGTTTGAAGGAAGCAGGGCTAAGAAGTGTAAGAGTGGCCAGCTCCTTGAGGAGAAAGAACAGGGATGAATGCTTCATTTTCTCAAGTGAGAGTCCCACATTTGTGTTAAATTAGGTAAAACAGTGAATAAAACAGAAAAGAAATCTTCTGATAGAAAGAATTTCTCCCATATCTACGTGACACTGAACGCTCTGCCCATATAACATGGAGTGTATAGGAACAGAGTGATATATGACAAAGAAAACAACCAGGAATAAAATATTGCCTTGCTGTGTATCCAGACCAATTACTAAAGCCCTGTGCATGTATCCATGGCCCACAAAGCAATCCCATTAGTTCTGAAGCTAGAAGCAATATAACCATACCTGTGAAGCATCAAGCTCACACTAAAAGACCTTTCTTTGCCCTCAGAAAATGAAAATATTTTGTCAGACATTCAGTAGTCATGGTGTATGTCTCAGTTTTACTACTGAGGTGGAGGGATGTGTGAAAGGAACGAACGTGTACCAAAAGGCAGAAAAAATTAGTTCATCTGCATCTCAGTGTTTAATTTGGACTTGACAGGCTCTTCCACATTGAAAAGAAACACAAGGGAAGAAACTATTTTTGCTAAGGGGATAGGAAACTCCAGTCCCTGAACAGTAGCCTGTAACAATGCATGGCCCAAGGTGATCAGTAAATGCTATTTTATTTTGTAGAAGAACTATTTTACTATTTTGTTTCACTCTAACTCACTTCTGATTGATAATCTTTTCATAAAGGGTCTGGTTCTTATTTCAAATAAGCAAAGACCTTCACATCTATTTCACAAATGACAGAGGCAGAGAGGCTTGTTCACGTGAAGAATTGGCAGGATTAACGAATTTATCTTTACTGAAAAATGATAGCAAAAATTAACTTACTGTTTGGATATTTATACCTGATAGGAGTCTTCAATATTTAGCAAAAGGCATACACTTACATAAATGAGTATCAAGGCAGGTTAGGAGTCCTAGGCACTTGCTCTCTTTATCCTGCCTCCACATTTGTCCAGACTGGAAAATGACTGGATTGCACCAAGGCTATCCCTTAATCAGGAACAGAAGTGCTGATGTGTATAAAGGAAGCAGCTGTGGTGCTCATCATGAACCACAAGTTTGGAAGGATGTTTACGTCCCACAGTCCGGATTCAGCCACAGCGATCAAAAACATCTATGACTTTACCATACGTGCCAAACTACCAAGCCCTAGCAATGACTCCTAAAAACTTAGTGCTCCTACCCCTCTACTTCCCAGTACATTTACTATCATGCAGAGATTAAAGTCTCCTCAAATTTCTGATACGCATAGTAAAAGACCCGAGACTCCCATTTTTCTGACTTACGTTTTTTAAAAAATATTTTTGCACATGTAAAGCAGAGACTCATATGCAAACAATTTTTTTCTCACAGTTCTCTACTACACAGTGTCACTAAGTTTTAGCTGGTTTTTTAACGTCACCTAAATAAATTTATGCATGAAGACAATTACTGCCTCCTCTTTTTGTGAACGACAGGCACATTTTGGATTATTCTGGAAGTATCCTTCATATATGCTTACTCTCCCCTTGTATTCTTCCCGAGGCATTGGTTTTTGGCCACTGCCGGAGACAGAGTAGACATTTGGTCCATGCAGTACAGCTGCTCTTTTGTTCATTTTTAAAAGCAGAGCTAGAAAACAAATTCTGCATAAATTTCTCTTTGATTTTTGTTGTCTTTGAGACCGAATGTTTAGGCTTCATCACATTTTTAGCTATGTAAGTATTTTTTTCTGAAGAGAGGAATTTAACACATCTCCAATATTGTGTATATATAGTGCTGACTCCACCACGAAAACTGCAGTGTCAGAACCACTATTGAGGGAGCAGTAACAACTTTCCTCTCAGTAGTATCAAAATAGCACCATTTTGTACTGCTGCAAATTTCAACATAGCTGGGAAATAAAAAATAATATTGTTTAGATCAGCATAAAATCCAGTCTTCAGCATGCAGCCAGCTGTACATAAAAATGAGGAGAAATATAAGCAAAAATGAGCATTTACTTGAATCAGGTCTTTAGCAACCACACAAACATGTGCAGCTTGAAGTAGTGTTGACAGACGCCTTTCTCTCAGGGCAACTTGCATTTGTCCAGACCCTTCCTGGCAAAAAGCAGCTTGCCTAAAATCAGACATATTGACCCAAAGTTTCTATGCTTACTGGTTTTAAAGAAAAGAGTGTATAACACTCCACCAGCAGAGTTTAATCAATGATTTAGTAAACTGATCATTGCACAAACAAGGCACTGTTGCTTTTGGGTGATTGTACACATACTGAGGAAGACACCGTTTTAGTAGTTACTTTCAGCTGGGGTAAATGCATGTTCTTAGTGCTTATTTATCCGGAAAAGCAAACAGGTAACTCAATTTGCAAACAGAATTAAATATTATCCTTTTAAAACACAGGGAACCTCGGGCATAAGTCTCTTTCCTAATGCTGTAAGGATGATTCCAATGTCATTTCGATTTACTTCCTTATTTGGTCTTGCATTTCTCTCCTAGTTCATGGTTTGATGAGCCTGGCAAATTTTAAGTGATTTGACATTCTGACTACAGGTTTTAAGCATTGCTTTACCAAAGACTACAACAACATTTACGTTAAATATTTTACATACTTGCCACTCCTACTTTTTTCTTTGATTTGAACAATTTTTTTTAAATAACCAGTCTAATACTCTCTAGTGTCTCCATTGCACAACTTGTTCTCACAGAGTGGTTGTGATGTTCACACAGCCATATTCCATGCCTAATGCTATGTTGCCACCTGTTGACCAATTTAGCAGTTGTAGTACTAAGACAAGATGCTCAAGAACATTAAAAAAATCTCCAAAAGATTTTATAGGTTTAAAACTCAGTTTTGTATTTACTTCTTTTTCTCTCTAGGAAAGTTATTTTAAAATCTTAATATTTATCCTTAGCTTTTATTAATTTAAAAGAAAATAAGTATTAGGCCTTCCCAGACACAGAAGCTGCAGCCGAGAAGACCTTCAAAGGCTACTAAAGGAGACTGCCTAAAGGCTAAAACAAATTGGAAATACTTTGGGAAGTAAATTGTAAGAGAAACATACTGCATGGATGGAATTGCCTCTCTTGCTATAATGTTACATTTTTCAGTTTCAAAAGGTGTCCAAAGGGATCAAGGTAATATTGCTGCAGAAAAAATGAAAATAAAAAGGGGTCAAAGTGTTTACTATGTGATTCATTATTCATGTCCTTTTGGATCACTTTCAGTTTAAACTTAAGTACAGATAAAAAAGCAACATGTTTGCATAGGATAGTATTTCAGCTGGGTTTAAAAGGGTGCACGAATTACTTTTATCAGGATGTATAGTATAAGCACAGGCAAGAAGTTCTTCATGCCTGCTTCACTTGGCATCTGAAATGTATATTTAACTCTAAATGACAGCATGTATAAAATCAAGTATGCATTACATTTTTTTTCCTCAAAGGAGATTTGTAGGATTAACTTCATACACACCGGAAAGGCTTAAAAAAATTCTGATCATGAGCACCATGTATAAAAAAGGATTAGTTTTATATAAAGTCATTAGGATAACATAACTTTAAAACAAAATCTTTTCAAAAATTTATATGTGGAAGTCTATTTCCAAAAACCATGAAAAAACCCAACTTTGATATCTTTGGGGTTTTTTTACTACATAAAGCTAAGCATGGTTTGGCTCCATTAATATTAATAAAAATGAGAACACTTTATATTTATACAGCAATATAAAAACTAAATCAATTCAATGGCTCAAACATTGCATTAATGGTGCTGACTTCAAGAACTTACATAGATATAAGGATTTCATGCTTTCTTTATTTAGTGACTCACCTTTGAATCATCCAGTTCCAGCTTTTTCAGAGATTTTCTGACATAATCTATGAAGGAGGATGATTTGGAGAAAGTTTTTCCAACATGTCGATCACTGCAAATACAGCATTGAGATGCAGGCTTTTATACATCCAACAACAGAAATGTACACGTTTTTAATTCCTTTTAATTAAATTTTCAGTGCAGGAGAAATAAATCAGCTACTACTGTCAAGTTAGTAATGATTTTCCTTCCCCGTTTACTTAAAAGAAAACAAGCTAGCTAATACTTGAAGAAATTTCTAGATACAGCAACTGTATAATTGTACCATAGTTATAGTACAGTTATTATTTTACCTAAAAATTGGAGAGTTAAAGGTTTCTTTTTAATGTCTCCCTAATATTTTTATTTCACTATATGAATGACAGATTTCTTATTTCCACTGACAGGTATTTCCTTCTATACTTCTTTAATACTTCTATAATGTACTATAATGCTGTTGTAATTTATTTACCATCGACCACTGGACTGAGCAAATGCCAAGTTGGAGTAAAATTTCACTTTCGCTTGTTACCTTGTGTTCTTATCCTCGCAATTTTTATTTTACTTTACTAAGAGATGCCAGTATTTTCTCCTGTTTAAAATTCAATGGCCTACTTTTGAAGTCAGCCAAAAATGTGGGTTGTTTCAAAAAACATGTTAAAATAATGCACAAAAACTGAAAAAACATATAGGAAGACTGAATCCTAACAGGCCACTTCTATTTTTTCTCTTCTCTGTGTTGGAAAACAACATGGCAAGTTTTTGTTAGTCTAAATTTGCTTTCTCGACTGTGTCTTAACGTAATTCCTCTTCCAGCTGTGCAGTGTAGGAGTTCCATTTTCAGCTACAGTAGCTGTTTGTGAGTATTCATTTTCTTAAGAGGAAATCCACTTTCCCCCAACCCTCCCATGAAATACTAAATAGAAATATCTTAATTTAAAACTTGTTTCCCTCTTTATCCTTAGTAAGACACCTTTCTCTTTATTTAAGGATCAGGATTAACACCTACTGAAGTCACATTTATTTTTAAAGAAAGAATGAACTTCTGCAGTCATATCTAATATTCAGGTGCACTTAAACATTTGGACTGATGCAGTCTGAAAATCAGTTCATGATGATGCTGTTATGTCAGTCTTTGCAAGATGGGCTTCTGTCCTCTTAAGCACAAGCTACAGGGGGAAAGATACCGTCCGGGTCTGGCTAGGATGGACCTAACTTCACAGCAGCCCTTGCAGTGCTGTGCTTTGGATCTGTGACTGAAACAGTGCTGGTAACACACCATTGGTTCAGCTGTCACCAAACAGTGATTGCACAGCATCGAGGCCTCCTCTGTTTCTCCCTCTGCCCCCCAGAGAGTAGGCTGTGGGTGCACAAGAAATGTGGGGGGAACATGGTCGAGACAGCTGACCCAAACAGACCATAGGGATATTTATTGCACACCATGTAACATCATGCTCAGCAATGAAACTGGGGGCGGAGGGAGTCTTTCCAGGGTAGTCATTGCTTTTATTTCAAAAGCATGATCTTAATTACTTCCTCCAAATTATGCTTCCTTTAACAAATGAAACATATCATCTATCTCATACTTTTCTTTTGTTTTGTTTTACAATTTAGTAGCCATGGGTTTATGTGTTATACTTTATGTAATTTTAAACTAATTAAAAAAAATGTCTTCTTTCAGGGTTTTGACCTTCTGAAGGGTAAGCTCTCTGGCTCTACATTTAGCAAAAGTTTTGGGGTATCTGCATTAGCACTTATTCCAGATCAGGAGTATACTTCTGAAGTGAATTTTCTGCTTTTGACCACCTCCCATGCCTTGGTTCACCCTGTGGAATAGGATCAGAGCTCAAAAAATGGGCTATTTTAAAATTAAATTAAACTGGAAGGTGTGCTTCTGGATGTGCTCCAAGTGCTGGCAGACATACATCCCACAGAATCAGATAAAATCTAATCCAACTACAACTCCAGAAGAGAGTACAGTGCAGATGTCAGGTCCTCAGCACCAGCTCTCCAAATCCCATCCTACAAGGGTGCAGTACTTGCTAATGTAAGCGTAGGCTACTTTAGCTCTTTACAGCCATGCTGGCCATTGGGCTTTCAGCAGTTTTTCTCAGGACAAATGGAAATGTCTTTGTGTCTTCTGCAGTAGTACAGCTGCCAGGACCTCTGCATAACATGGTAGCCCAGAACTGGGCTGACTTTTTAGTGAATTTGCTGTCGGTTCTCTGGTGAAGATATGTTTTACCCATGTATCCAGTACCAAAGAGTATGTATTTCAGCTATGGGTAAAGGAAGGGCAATACATAGAATCATAGAATAGAATCACTTTGGTTAGAAAAGACCTTTGAGATCATCGAGTCCAACCTTTAACCTAACCCTGCCATCCCACCACTAAACCATGTCCCTAAGCACCTCATCTACCCATCTTTTAAATACCTCCAGGGAGGAGGACTCGACTACCTCCCTGGGCAGCCCATTCCAGAGCCTGACAACACTTTCAGTGAAGAAGTTTTTCCTGATGTCTAGCCTAAACCTGCCCTGGCGCAACTTCAAACCATTCCCCCTCGTCCTATCATCTGTTACCAGGGAGAAGAGGCCAACCCCCACCTCACTACAGCCTCCTTTCAGGTAGTTGTAGAGGGCGATCAGGTCTCCCCTCAGCCTCCTCTTCTCCAGACTAAACAACCCCAGTTCCCTCAGCCGCTCCTCGTATGACTTGTG